CTGGTCCGGAGGGATGCTCAGCAAGCAGCTGGGTGCAACAGCTGTGACATCGCTGCCTTCGGCCGCTTCGCTGTCCCTGGGGGCAGCACAGGGACCTGCCGTCATTCCCACCAGGGCCTGGGCACGGTGGGAACGAGCTTGGCCAAGCAGAGGACGGGCCCCGGCCACCTTCTGGTCAGACAGAGGTGGGTACCGGTACCCGCTGCCATCGCTCGCAGAGGATCCAGCAGCTCCTTGCGCCCTGCAGCTCCACRTGGAACTCTTCCTGCTTTGCACAAGTGCAAAGAGCCTTGTGGTCAAGGCTACGAGCCTGGCATGGATGTTCCTGACAATGGCAGGCCAGGAAAAATCTGTTCTCTTGCATCCGGCTCATTTTGAAAAGAAGGGAAAGGGACATGGATGCAGATGGACATTCCCRATGCTCCTGTGAAGCACCAGGCTGATCCAGACTATATCAAGGTTATTTCAGCTTTCCTCTGGGTGTCCAGTGCACATTTCCATCTACACATGGCAAGTAATGCAATTGGGATCAAGGATAAATTAAACAGCTGATTTTTTTTCCTAAAACAGGAGCGGTTCAGGGAACGAGCCGTGGTGCCTTCCCCGCTCCGTGCACAGACCTGACACAGGGCAGCCCCCTCCAAATTACAGTCACGGCCATTAGCTCTCTATTGATTTAAAGCGTCACTGAATGTGGCCTCCCTCATGTCCCCCCCGCCGACAGCTGCCCTTTTTCATGTACTCTGCACGTTCAAGTACAACAAAACTGGAGTTAGCACCAACCAGGCTTAATGTTTACTTTTTAAAGCAAATCTAATTACTCTGTCTTACTGGAACTGCCTTTGTGCAAAGGATTGGATGGAGCTATAGGAAATAAGCTGCAGGCAGATGCTAATCATTTTGCATGGAAATTACTAAGATTTATTTTACAAGTGTTATATGCAAGCTTTTATTTAACAATTTCATTTTTTTTCTCAACATGTTTTCAATAGTATCTGCAGATATTTAACAAAATATATCAGGGTTTATATCTGGTTCCTTACTTGCTGTCCCAAGATATTTTTGTTAAAAGCATAGAGTTTACGTGAAGATAAAAACTGATAATTTTTCCTTATTTTCTCTAAATCACAGCTGTGTTGAATGAGGAGAGCTGATGAGTTATCTGAGCAAGCTGCGTTCACAGCAGCTGCTCATGAGAAGGAACCTAGAGTCCGATGGAGGTTTTACAGAAGAGAGACACAATTTATGGCTTTGTTTAAAGGCTCTAGAAAGGCTGTTGATTGGAAGATGAAGCCATCTGTCCTCTCACTGTCTTGGACCTGGTTGTGTTGTTTCCACCAAGGAGAGAGTAGAAATGAAAAGAGTGGGGTTTGTTATAAGCCTGGTATGAAAGTCCCCGCACCAAGTTGCAAGGTGGGTGCTGCTTCTCCTGCCCTTAGCTCTGGAAGAGGGTGGCTCGTCAGCAGCGTGGCAGGGGGACATCGCCTGGCCCTTGGGCTTGTTCTGCTGCTTTTAGCCCGCTCTGTAACTTTGGAATGAAGAGAAAGGCTTATACTGCCCATCTAGAATATTGCATCAATAGTGAATTCATCTTTAAAAAAAAAAAATTTATGTCTCCAAGGTCTAACAAGTGATTTGGTGCTTTTCCAAAAACACCTTCAGTTGTCTGGGTTTTCAGTCTGTGGAGTATTTCCTGCTAAGAACTACCTTGTTACTGGGAATCTGATTAACTCACCTCCAGTTTCCCGCTTCTGCCCAGTTCTTCTCACTCCAAGACAACCGAAACAGCAGTTTCCACTTGATGTTAATTACCACACCTTGTGGTCATTACCACAGCTAATTTTGGCAATAAAGCTGGTAGAGGAAGGGCTGTTGATATCTAAGCAGCCCCTTGTTGTTGGTTTCCACAAAGTCCTCAGTGAGAGAGATGGACAGTGTGAATGTTCCTCATAAATATTGGAGGCCTCATGTTGGCCACTGAGAAAATACTGATGGAGAAGAACAAACAGGGCTCTGTTGGTTCCAGAGATGGATTCTCCCAGCTTTTTTGGCCATGGCAAAAGCACCTGTGGCAGGGCAGGCACAGAGTCATTATCACTGGTGACAGGTTGCACATCAGGAAAGCCACTGTTGAGCTCCACAATCCCAGGCAAGTGTCAGCCTGGTAAYTGGAAATGAACCTTTTTGAGTGTTTTCATGAAAATTGAGCCCATTTCTGAAGGGGTCAAGTGAGAGCATCTAGGAAGCCCTTTTAGTGCTTTCCCTTTGGGCCACCTTGCTGCCTGCCCCTTCCTTTGTATTTTGGGTGTGTGACTTTGTGTGTGTAGGTTATTTTTATAGGCTTTGCTGTCTGTCAACAATACAGGATTATACAAACTACGCTTTCTTTTTTGGGGACAAAAGGGATTTTATCCCGCTGTATCCTTGTCTTTGCATGGCACAGTGGGAGCCCAGCTGTTGCCAATGTAGGGATATGCATAATAAAAAAAAATATAATAATGAACAGAAATGGCATTATTTAATTATGTCAAATCCATGGGATTTTTTATAACTGCCTAAAGGACATAACTGGATTTTTTGTGTGTGGTGTTGCAATGTCCTAAAATGGTATTTCAACTAAAGAGCGAGGAAGGAGGAGTCAACCAGCCATTTTACAAAAAAACAATTGGAGAGCTTTCTGAATTTGTCTTATTTTGGGAGAGCTTAGACACTTAATGAAAACCATCCTTTTAGCCTTACTTTTTGAAATGTTCCTTAAGTAGATGTCTTTAAAAACAGCTATCCACTTAAAGCAGTAACAGTATTCTGTTAATTTTGTACACGATATATGCTGTGGCCTGTGCTGTTGTGAACCTCAAAATATTTTACTGCAATTATTTGAAAACAGATTTACCTTAGAACTTTGAATTTTATGCAACTTCTAAATAGAATCTAGAAGTTTTGTTTTCTGAAAGAACATTCTCAGATAGCATTTTGGCAAATTTCTGTTTCATTGWAAACTAGAAGAATAGTCTTTACTCCAAACTGAAATTACAGCAAACATCAAAAATCGAAGCATCTCCTRCACGGTAAATTCTAAGTTTTGGGCAATCTAGTAGCTTCCCCTCACTGACTACAAACCTCTGAGTCCTCCTAAGGATAATTTTATTAACGTGTTTTTTTAATGATGGGGAAAAGCAAGGCCTGGGAAATGGGATTGAGTTGTCCRGTCTAGCTGTAGAGGAATTCTCTGTGCCCAGGAGAGCCCCGGACTCTGCCGTCTATAGGGATTAGACATTAAATAGCAACACCGCCCGCCTGAAACCCGCCTGGCTCCCCYGTGAGCTCTGTGTTCCAAGGCAAGGCAAAGCCTGGGGATAAAGAGCAGATTTAAGAACCGCTTAAACACGGATCTTTTGGGAAGCTACATCAAACACTGTTTTATAGTGCTCTAAGTCRTCTGGATCTCTCTTAAGTTGTTTCATTCCCTCCTTCTGAAATATTTATTTCTGCAGTGAGGAAGATTCCCTCAGATAGGGTCTGAAAAGGGTTTTTATCTGCGTGGTGCTGATGATTCGCGCATGCGGCAGAGAAACTCTGATTTCTGGGGCTCTCTRTCTTCTGTGACTTCAAGTCCGCCTGGCTCTGTAGGTCTCTTGTACACTGCATTTATTGTCACACCASCAACACTTTACATAACCCCTCAGAGTGCTTGGGAATACGTACGAGTGTTGCTGAATGCTCAAAATGCCCACTCTTAAATGAGGTCTGTAGCAAATAGGTGACAATCCAGATCTTTTGCTGTGATGTTGGTCATGGGCTTTCCATTAGGGAGGCTGGAGAAATTYCTGAAGTCTTGTGAGTGGCAAGGGTTTGCTGAGGAGAGGAACCCCCAGGTGAGAGCTTGATTCAGAGAGCAGCACCCACCTGAGTGAGGGATGGGGGCTCTGACGTCCTACCTTGCCTAGGTCCTGCAGAAGGGATCTCTTGATGAGCCTCTTCCTCCAGAAGGTGCTCATTCCTTGCATCGCATCTGGAGGTTTCTTGGCAAGTATGTAGTAGTTTTAAGGCTGTCTGAGAGGAGTTCATTTGGCCAGAATGAATTTACTTGTGCAAGTTGAAGTCTTGAAAACAAACAAACAGAGTCCAATAACTGTCTGAGTCAGCGAAGGGTTGAGCTGAGGCTGCTGTCACAGAGCCCCAGCTGGCTGCCTCTTGGCTCTTGATTTAAGAGAGGTTTACTAGTGTTTCCCTGATTTATAAGTCTTGAAAAGAAAATTCTGGTACGTGGCAAGTCTTCCTTCTGGATATAGTTGGGCATAGCTTCATCCTGGAGACTTTACGCAAGTGCTGGACAAATGGCMAAGATGTAGCCTCCCCATAGGGGCTCCTTGCTCTTATCTCCCCCATCACCCAGGAATGGGAAATGTCTCTAATAGGGCCATGTGTTTTTTGTTCTTGSGGAAAGTGTGAGACTACATCACTGTATTGGAAGGAAAATACAGATGTCAAAAATCTTTAATTTTTTTTTTTTTTAAATCTAAGGGTTTTTTTGGCCAGCATTTTCTCCTTTTGAAAATAGTTAAGTTGCATACTTGTGCTCCGTATTTCAACCAAGTCCTTAGAAGTGGGATTTGGGAGCACATGCATCCTCCACCATATTTTAAAGATTGCCAGCCCAAACAGTGATTCTTGACGTGCAGCCAGGGCCATTGCTCTGGCTGTGTTTCCAGCTTACTGGGACACAGTCCTGCATTTTCCTGCACATTTTTCAAGCCCATTTACTGAGGGCTGTTTTGTAATCCGCAGCTCTCCGTTCTCAGTGACGGTGAGAGCCTTCCTTTCAGCAGGGAGTTTTCCAGATCGGTGTTGTTGCTGGGAGCTGGCATTGCTGATGCCTGTTGTTTTCTGTTGTTATACTGACTGTAGCGCGTGACCGTTGTGTATCGCTCAGTGTTGCCTAATTTAGGACAGCAGTGATTAATTCCTTCTATTGCTTTTTCTTCTCTTTCTCACTGCAGGATGTTTTCACGCCAGAGTGCAAATTTAAGGAATCTGTCTTTGAAAACTACTACGTTATTTATTCTTCCACGCTGTACCGGCAGCAAGAATCCGGACGAGCGTGGTTCCTGGGACTCAATAAAGAAGGTCAAATTATGAAGGGAAACCGGGTGAAGAAAACCAAACCCTCATCACATTTTGTACCCAAACCCATTGAAGGTATGGACTCGGTTCTCTCCCTCCATCGGTGGGATATGGGGAGGGACAAGTTTGCAGCTGCAAATATGGTCAGCTTGTGGTAGGGATGGGAATGTTGGGGAGCAAGACCTGGAAGCAAGGATAGTAGTTGAGAAATATCAGAGCAGTGTTGAGCTGCACTTTGTTTCATCCACTTTCTTCATGTATCTGCACATTATCCTAAAGGGAATTCTCAGCTTTGGGGTGCAAAAGGATTCATTCAAATGAGAAATTGCTGGGAAGGTCAGAGCCATCCAGCTGTGATTTACATCTAGGTCAAAAGTTTAGAGGAAATTAGATTCAAAAAATCTTGCGCTTTCTGTGATGACTGTGCTTTCCATGATGATTTTTCTCAACATCATTTGGTGGGTTTTCCATTCAGAGTCAGTACAGGTAGGATTTGCCTCATCTCATTTTAGACTGTRAGACTCTGCCCATAGGAATAGGAGAGAAATGTTTTTCCATCCAATTGTGGGCTTACTTTATATGTCTACCCTAAGAAAAAATGACTTGCACACATGTTCTTTCCTCATCTTGAAAGAGACCTTAAGTCAGTCACTGACGATAGAGGGATGTGTCTCCCTTGATAGAGAGATGTGTCCATCATAGATGTCCAAAGTTAGGTAAGCTGCTGTCATCCCAGCTGCTCCATCACAGCATGAGGTTTCACTGGAAGAAGTTTGAGTTGTTGCTACAGCTGACCACACAGTGCTGAGGTGTGTATGTGCCGAGGTGGTCTGCTTTTTATGGGCTAACCAATGCATAAATGGAAAGACATCATCTTAGTGATGACGCTAGTGCTGGACAGGTACTAGTTCCACTTCAGAAACAAGAAAGCAGATAAAGAACTTTCTGGTGCATGGGGAAAAAAGCACAACATTTTGATCCCCAAAGCAGGTAAAAGTGGAGGTGTAACCGTTTGGTCCCTAGTTTGGCATCTGTGTCTAGGCTGCAGTCCATTCCTTGCCTCTTCCGTCTTGATTTTTTTGAAATCTTGTGTTGAACTGTTGAGACAAAGGGCAGGTAGGAAAATTCAGCTCTGAGCATTCCCAAAATATCGGTGGCCTTTGCACAGGAGATGGAAGTGATCATCAAGGGGAGCGTGGCCAGGTGTCTTCTTTCCCTCGGCTTCTTTTCAACAGTCCTCTGCAGTTGGGGGATTTCTGACTGTTTGTTAGTGGGACTGTCTGGCTAGATCCCACTCTATATTTTTGCTAAGGGACAGTTCAGGGCATGAGGTCTATCACCATCTTCCCTTCTGTCTCCTCCTATTCTGCCTTGGCTGGCTCTGCAGATGGTAGCTTTGAGAGCCATGTTCCTATCTCCTGGTACTTGCTGCCTGCCACTGTGGTTCCTTTGAACACAGCCTTTTTTCCGCCCCCCCACGTAGTTCACTTGGTGTCTGTTGAATGGCTCAGTGGTTGTCTTTTACATGCGTGTAACTAGGACATTCCCGTGGCTCTCCCAGCCTTGCCCTAGCAAAAGGTCTCGRCCCGTAGCAGAGGTTCTTGACCCCCAGCAGCGTTCCCAGTGCAGCAGGCGCCGCTGTGGCTTTTGTTGTGAAAAGCCCAACCCGAGAGCTTCCCTTTCCTGCAGTTGCATCCTCCCACGCGCGCCTCAATCACAGCTGTCACGTAGCCTCCCAAGCGAGCGAGCGCTTGGGAAGTTGGCAGCCAAATTAAGGGCTCCTCCACCCCTTCCCTCCTCCACAGGCTTTGCAGTCAGCCTCGGTGAGTGCTGCTGCATCACAGAGCTGGCAGCCTCCCAAGCCAAGGCACGTGTCGGCTTCCCGGAGCATTCAGGTGTCTGGGGCTGGGACTCCAGACGGAGGACTGCTCCCCAGCCTCAGAGTCGTTGTGGGTAGCAGAGGAGCGTGAGGAGGGTTGGAGTGAAATGGGCTCTGCTCCACGTGACTTGTCTGCACTGCATCCATCAAAGTCTGTGYGAGCAGAGCTTGCAAGATGTTAGGGAAAAGGGGCAATTCCCTCTCTCTAAGAGCATCGTTCCCTCTGTCATTACCCTGAGGAGGATTCAAAGCACTTTCCTGCTCYATTTGCACGTCCTGTCTGTTGAACACTGCGACATGCTCCAGCACGTGGGCTTTTCTGTCGTTCCACTGTTTCGCAGCTCCCAYCTGCACTACACACCCAGGCCTCCTTTTGCTCTGGTACAGCCGTGAGCGCTGACGCTGCGCCGTGACGGCGGGCACAGTAACGTAGGCAGGGATGAATCCAGTCCCGTGGGAAAGAGCTGGTGCACACCGTGCTAGGAATCACCTCACCCACCACTTCAACAGCAGGTACCTCCGAGATGGAGCTTCCCAGTTCACTGTATGCAGAAAACAGGCACGGGAGCTTAGAGAAGAAAGGATTTGCAGGCACAGGAAACATGGAAGGGCCCRGATTGCTCATAGGGCAACTCAGGGATAGTTTTTATTCCCTTTGCTTTCCATTTGTGTATGTATGTGTGTATCTGTMTGGCTTTTAATAACACCTGCAGTTCTGTGTTAGAGAATACTAGAGAATGTTTTGAATCACAGAGAGGGTCAGCAAATTGGAGTTGTTCTGTGTGGAGGTTACCCTACACAAACTGAAAAGGTTTAGGTGCTTTATTGGTAGGATGTGTTTTTGCAGGAGGAGTTAGAATAGGTAGGATTTGTTTGTTTTTGGAAATAACATTAAGCTTAATCAATATAAAAGCATGAAAAATTTCCTGAGTAATAACAGAGGAAACGTGAAGTTSCTCTCCCATCTGTGCACAGGCAAAGCCAAGGCAAACAGCCTGGCAGGCAGGAGTTAGTGTACTGTGAGGTGCCAGTTTGGTTAAAAACACACATAAGCCCCACATTTCTTTTGATGCTTTATTTCTGATCACTGATCATTTGAGCTGAGTGAGCCTATAAAGTGCAGACATAGAGCTTGGACCAGACTGCACAACAAATTAGCTTGAGTATAATTGTCAYTTTGACACCAAGCAATCTTTAAAGCAATTTCAGCCTCTTTAAGTGTCTGCAGTGATTAGTGGTGGCCAAACACTACCATTCATGGTGCCTCTTGTTCTTTCACACAGCTATACCCAGCTCAAACAGTAGGAGAATTTTCTACGGACTACATTAAGAATTATATCAGATTCTTACCAGGGATGTGCTCTGTTCTTTTTATTTGCTTCTCCTTGAAGACATTATTTCCAGATTTGGTCTCCTAAAAGAGTTACATTTCACTTCTCATCCAACYCAAACCAGAATGTATTTGGGTTTGGAAATCTGGTCGTCTAGTCATCCTGGTCAGCAGAGCTCAGGTGCTTCAGTCTCCATGCCTTGGGAATATATCCAGTGTGAGTCTCTTCCATTGATGGCTGCTAATGGATATTAGAGTGCAGGGAATAGCATGGCAGCAACTAATTTTTTCCCCAGTATATTTCCTGGTGGGGATAACATCCCAGATTTACTAAAGCAGAGGCGGCAAAGGAGGTGGTAAATAAGCACCAAGATGCTGTCAAGTGGGAAGATGGGGTGGGCTTAGTGGAAATGCTTTATAGGCATAACCTGTGYCCATCTAGTGTTAAATAATATTTTTTAAGAAAAAAAAGAAACCCTTTATCAATCTTTTGTATAAAAACACAGCTCTTATGGTCTGTCTTGCAGGGGACAGGTTTTGGTATGCTGTCTTTCCCACACTAACTCCCCCCTGTATCGGAACTCCTAACCATGTTATTCAAGAGCAAATGCAACGTATCTTAACCATACATTTCTTGGCCTTTTTGTCATACTGTGCTCTGTTTCTCACCTGAACCAAGTGTGATCCCATCTGGCAGCATCCTGTGCATTTAGCTGCTAGATAGACACAAGCTCAAAGGGCTCTGAAATGCATCAGCTGGGCTTGGGTTTAGGACAGAGTAATTAGAGGCAGAAAACAAGGGTGCATAATCACTTGCTCCCTCTTCCCCTAGCTGCTGCTTAGACAATTAATTCTCTCTACCAAAGCATTAGCTAATGCAGCAGTCATTGCKTCCTACTGCTGCAGCACCCCATGTTGTGGCAGCTCTCGTGGCAAAGAGGCTTGAGTCGGGCTGCCTGATGACCTACCTGTATCCAAACTGGTGACTTAGTAAGATTTGGTCCTGCATAATTCCCCAGAGTGTGGGGCAAGGAAAGGCAGGAGAGAGGCAGGATGGATGGGATACCAGCAGTGTCCTCTCACAAGCTTTGCCCCATAGCCTAAAGAGAAATAGATTCAGTTGAAATAATTTCTGCTGTGCCTTGGCATTTGGAAAGGAAGCCCCCCCCCCCCCCCCCCCACGCCCTCCTCTCTTGCGTGTACCCCCAGGCATCTTTCTGCCTAAGTGGTCACAAATGCGTGTCCCTGGGCATGGAAGTGTTGGGTTCTGGGGGACACCAGGCAAGCAGAGAGCTGAGAAGCACAAGCTGCAGCAATGGGCCSTGCTGCTGCTCGCCCCCTTCCCTCTACGCCCCTGGCTGTACAGCAGATACCGCTAATGGCACATTCCAATTAAGGCATGAATATGTATGTGTTGATCAGAATCTGGGACACGAGAGCTGATTATCTGATTGAAGCTCCCAAGCACTCRCTTGGTTTACAGACAGCACGGGCTGTATTTGGCTTGCTGCGTGGGTGTGGGTGGGTGGAAGAAGCAAGGAAAAGCAGGGAGGGGAATCTTGTTCTAGCCAGATCTGCTCATCCTTCCAAAGCTGCTGGGCTCTGTGTGTGCAGAAGCAGCCAGACCTCCCAAGCATCCTGTTGGGAGGCTGTTTCACCTCCAAGCAGGTGACAGGCAGAGTCAGGGACCCCAGGCAGAGCTGTCTGCAGGTGCAGGTTGCCCTGAAAACAGATTCCTTTTAATGTTGGGAAAAAAAATCTGTGGTCCCTTTACAAAGAGAGCGCCTCCCGTTTGCCAGCCCTGTGTGAGTCACAGTCAGGCTTCCTCGGAGCAAACTGAAATCCAAGGCTGTGTGTTGCACAACATGTCACGCTGTCCTTGCCACGCCACGCACGTCCCTCTGCCTGTGCGTGCACACACGTGCCGGTGTGCACATGCACACAGGTGCCCTGGAGCGCACAGGTCTGCGGCGTGCAGGGCAGAGCCCTGCCTGTGCACACCAAACCCTGCTGTGCAGGAGGTGATCCAGGCTCTGAAGTGTCACTCTGCAGTGGGTGGCACCATGTAAGGAGTGCAAACACCAGTAGGTAGGTGTGCCCAAATTCTGCCAATGCACTTGGCCAGTGCTGCTCTGGATTCTCTGGCAGGCTCTGTTGGCACAGCCTGTCTTGTGCTGCTGCTTTGACAGGGCCGGCTGAAAAGCCCAGTCTCAGCTGCCTCCARCTGTGCTGCTTGTCAATACTTGTATCCTTCACTTGACCAGATGCGAAACTTCCAATTCCTGTCCTGTCTGCTTACTTGGTACAGGGTTTCTCTAATTTTCAGCTGCAAGAGTTGTTTACTTCTGTAGCTTAGTTTAGCTGTAACACTTTGTTGGCCTTGTTAGCAACTCAGTGCCTGAAGGCCATGGTGAGAGGCAGGGAGCAGAGGCCAGGTGATGTATAAGGATGCTGTCCCTGCAGACTTGGCTCGTGTTGAGCCCTGGTGTTTAAGCCTGCAGCTCAGCTGCGTGGAGCTGCAGGTACACGGCCGAGCTGGCCATGGCAGAGCTCCTGCACCCTCTGCTAGGGGCTCGCATGGTCCCTCCAGGCCCTTGCGTTGCACTCTCCCTGCAGCATTAAGCAATGCCTTGGTTTCCCTAGTGCTCAGGGTATGGACTGCGGGAGCTCTTGACCTTGCCACCCCTGGGGAACCAGGCACTAGCAAGGAGCAGCAGGACAGGGAGCTTCCTAGCTCATATTGCTCCCCAAACCCCAACTGTGCCTTGTAGTTCTCATCTCCTTTCAGGCCTTACAGAGGAAATGGGGATGGGCATTGCTGAGATGAGCTAAAAAGTGCAGCTACCCGGGCAAGTGTCTCACCCAGCTTCCACCCATGGCTCCAGCCTGGACCCAAAGCGGGCCGGTTGAAGGCAGCGCTGAACCTGAGCAGCCCGTGGGCACGCAGTGGTGGGTTGTAGTGACACCCCCCCCAAAGTGTGGGGGGCAGCTGAGCAGGATGTGAGAGCCCTTCATGCTCTGCTTGCAGCGCTCAGAGCTCATCCAGGCAGCTCACGGGCAGTCCTGGCACTCCTCATTCTGGCCCCGACACATGGGAAAACACATTTATTCTGTCTGTTTTCTCATTTCCATCAAAGCAGGGCTCTGGTAGCAATAATAACCTACAGAGCGGTACCTACCTCACAGGCCTTGGGAGGCTCAGGTAATGTGTGTGTTTAAAGTGCTGTGAGCGTCTTGGATGAAAGATGCTCTGTGAGAAAAATAATATTTTTTCATTGCTCGCATAGTCAATGCAATATCCCTCCTATTAATATACAGTTGGCTGCACTTTATCTCTGTCTTGTATTGTTGCATACTGCTATAACTGTTTATCTAGCTAGGAGTAAAATGCTGAGCAATAATGTCATTTGCAGCCTGGATCTAATTGGCAGGATTTATTTGCAAATTGGGAAAGGTTATAAATATAAGTATTCATAAAGCCTTTGTGGAGATAAAGTATATCTGAAGAAATGAAAAAATAATGATGAAATTGTGGTGATGTTGCTTACTGAACTAAAATGTGCCGGGCTCTATCCCCCTTGTCTGAGCTCTGTGCAGTGGCTGGCGACGTGACAGCTTTCCCAATGAAGCAGTACACAATCTTTTCCTTCCATCCTAATTCTTCCTAAGATCCASGCATGAGATTTGCAGTCTGGACCTATCTCAAGTGCTGATCTCTGATGTGCCTGCCCTTGAGAGGCCTCGCTCTTTCCATCAAATGTACACATGGCACATTTGCGGTGAGACCATCAGAGCTGCTCCGTTGGGTGTGAGGTGCTGAGCCCGCCCTCAGCACGTGCTCCTCACCTGGCCTACCTTGTGTGGACAGATCTTAGTGAATAGTCCACATGGACAATTATGGAGCTGTTTTATGCCACACAACCTGGGAATTTGCCATGTCTTGGACRTACGTGGCCCTCTCAGGCTCTTTGTGCTCTCTTCTAGAGGCACACGGTGCTTAGCCAGTGCTCAGAGCAGTAGTTTGGATTCAGGAGTCTCAGGAACTTCTTGTTAGCGATTAAGGATGGGTAACCGTGTAATTTTTGCATCTGTTCTTAGCTGATATCGGCGTCATGGGGCAATACCCAGTGCTATGAGCTGGAACGCTTATTTTATATACATAAATATATCACTAAAAGACAAGAAAGCACAGAAGGCCGAGCAAAACAGAGATCCCCYGTTCTGTTTGTGCCTTTGGAAGGGGACAGATGGGGAAGGGGAATGTGAGTGGCAGCAAAGGCAGGTGCTCTGCACGACAGCAGCACCTACCACTGGCTCCCTGGGGTGCTCCGAGCGCGCCGACAGGCGGGAGAACTTCAGCCTCACGTGCAAAGAAATCACTCACTGTGGGCAAGAAAGCTGCGTGCCGGCGGGGCTGCTAATTGGTGTCTTTGCTCTTTGCAGTGTGCATGTACAGAGAGCCATCGCTGCATGAAATTGGAGAAAAACAAGGACGCTCAAGGAAAAGTTCAGGGACACCAACCATGAATGGAGGCAAAGTTGTCAACCAAGACTCGACATAGCTGACAAACACCCTCCCTTCGTCCGACTGCTCCCTTCCCACCCACCCCGAATCCACACCGAGACCACGACAAGCGGAGCAAGGCAGGACCTACCCGTAGCGGCTGGGAGTCCGAACTCGAGCATCTTTCTTTGTGTAGGTTGAAGACATCGAACCACAGATCTTGCCTGTTACAACGTTTTAGACAACAACAAACAAACAAAAAGTGAAAAAAAAAAAAGTTTTAAATCAGGACTCCATTAACATTTTTCCAAAGCAAACTGTTTGCTCTGTGATCAAAGGGGGAAAAAAAAAATCTCATCTCTGCATAATAATAATAACAACTAATAAATATAATAATAATAAAGATGTTACCTTTAAAAATAAAACAAAGCTTTTGGAAAATTGAACTTAGCATATGATGTGCAAGGAACAAGCGCGTGGCGAAGACGGGGACTGTGCTTGCTGTCTTAGACTTTCACCTCACGTTCACACTACTGTTTTTTCCATTCCTGCTTCCCTGGGGATGGATGGGATTTCTCACAAAGCAGGAACGGTAGGGATGGATTATGACTGTGTTTGCTCTCCTATCAATAAAATATGGCCTGTCCGAATTAGGAGTCTGACAGTTATGGGCAACCAACTAGCTCCTCTGTATTCAGTTTTTTTTCCATCTACATTCACGCACCGTGTAGTTATTTGTTGCTAGTGTCACTGTGCGAGTATGTTTGACCCGAGTCTGGCATTTTGTGCCTTTTTATCATAATTATTTATATTTATAGGTTTGTTTTACTGTACTAGTTGCCAAGGGAGTTTCGGAAATGGGTTTTTAGATTTCGCAGGCTGCAATGATCATATTTATTAGGGGTGAGTTGGAAGATAAAAGACACAGAGGGATGGCTTTTTGCTTTAAGAGATGAACTGGAGGAAGTGCCGCTCCTGCAACCCCTTGCTGTTTGGTGCATGGCCGTGATGAGGCAGGTGCTGTACGAGGGGGTGGGAGTGACAAGGCGGGTATGGGGAAGGAGTAGCTGGGCTGTGCAGAAGAGGGGGTAGATACAGAGATGTGAGTGTGTGAGCAAGTGTGTGTTCAGCTGGGATAGAGGGAATACGTTGCTGGTTCCTTCTTGCAGCCACGCGCTGTCTCTGTGTTAAGGGTCCTCATCCTGTACATCTCATTTTACACGTGTTCAAAGCCTCAGTTACAAACCCCTCTCTATGCCAAAGCCTGAGTCCAGCTGAGCCTGTTAAGAAAGAAAAAAAAAAAAAAACCCAAAAGCCAAGGTGACCTGGGAGCGCCCCTGTATTGCTCTGCAGCGCAGAGTGCCCCATCTCAGGTGCCAAGATAGCCCCCCGTTGGCCCCCTCGGAGACACATGGGGGTGGTGGGTGAAGAAGGCACCTGTGTTCACTCCTGCAAGCAGGGGCAGAGGGGCACAGAGCCCTGCGTGTGGCACTCCAGGCTCTCACCTCCACTTGCAGACTGCAGCAGCAAAATCCAGATGTTGCACAGATGTTGTAGTGAAATCCAGCTGTTGACAAAGCGGAAGCACCAGGTATGCTCCTCCCCCCGGGCCCCAAACTTGGCCATGAGGGCCTCAAAGAGCAAAGAAACGAGACCAGCAAATGCTCAAGGGGCTGGTGAGACACGGGGAAAGAGCCAGACGCCTTGGTGTGATGTGCTGGGAGTGGCTGCAAATGGTGGCCACACAAAACGCGGCCTCAAGTCTTGGGACTTCCTTGCCCCCAGTGCCCCGGCTGGCAGCGCGGGGCGGCCCTGGCTGCTGGAGGGTTGGAGCAGGGYTTGGACACAGGCCCCTGGGAACAGGGTGGGCACTCGGCTCCTCTCAGCCCCCCGCGGGGTGCCCGCACATGGGGCACATCACGGTGATCCTCTCTGTGGGTGCACGGAGCAGGAGCCAGGAGCAAAGGCTCAAGGTTATGGATGACACCCAGGCTCAGCACGAGGGACTGAATTTCAAGCATGTCMTTTTTGTATTTTGAAAAGCTAAAACCTTGCCCTGAAGAGCATCTCAGCCTGGCTCTGCTGGCTGGTATTGCACTGAGCTCCCCACCATGCACACACAGCCAGCAGCCCAACGGGGTCCCATGCTTTTCCACAATACCAGGTGTTAGCATCTTGGGCACTCTTGGCCCTGGCAGCCTGTTTTTTTCTTTTTCTTTTCCATCTTCGCTAGCTCATAGTAACTAACACTGATGAATCTGGGGCAGGCCTTTGCCCCCAAAATAACAGCTATTGCCATCATTTTTTTGACTGAATGGAAGAACTTGGCCCTAACAAGCCCAACAGCAGAAAGCACTTCACAGCACAGCCGTGTGCTTACACTTAAAGGAGTCATTTTGTTTCACCCTTGACTGCTTTTTAATTTTTACTGGCTGCACTTTTCTTCCAGGACATGCTATGCACCACAGCCCCTCTCACCTCTGCATAAAGGGCAAATCCTGCTACCACAGCTCATTTGGCACTTCAGGAATTTACTGTGAGGGGGGAAAAAAATGCAGAAAAATATCAGCAAGAAAAGCATGCCATGCTGTGATAACACGTCTGTGCTTCAAGTGTCAGGGCTGGCACCAGGGACAATACACTGCAAAGAGACGCTGACATTCAACAACGCACGTTATGGAAGGTTCCTGTCACCAATGGTTTTTTAAAGCTTGCTCTCAGATGGGATGGGGCTGATAGAGCCCTGKAAAGGTCTCTAAGCTGTTCCAGGCTGCCCTTTGCATCTCTGTGTTCGACTGCACCATGCATGTGAACCTCCCTAGTAAGACATCAGTTCCACACTGCCCTGTGCAAGGCTGGACAAAATGAAGGTGKCGTTCATACATTCAGCTGAATCCAGACGAAAAGGTCACTGAGAAAAGCAGCACGTGTGTGTGTCTGCAGGCCCAGATTCCTCTCCCAAAATTAGAACAAAAATCTGTTTTGTTGCTGTGAGCTGACCCACTGCAAGCACCTATGAGTAAAATCAAACTGAACACCATGGCACTTCCTCAGTTTTTTTTTTTTCCCCTCCTTTCCCTCTTCTTTTCGTTGTTAACCTCTTGCTTCTCCCACAGCCACTGCTTCATGATGACTGATAATTGTTTCCCTGGCTAATAGGAAGCAAAGGCGATGCCCTCCTCCCCAGCAGASAGTAAACCTTGTGTGATGCCCATGTCTGCCAAAAGCAACAAGGGTAACAATGACAGTCCTCCTCCCTGCCATAGTCTAGCTGATACTATTTTTTTAGCATGGGATTTACATAAAACCACATCTCAAACTTTGTCATTCCAGTAGCTGCTGAACAAAGGGTAGCAGCAAAGCACTTCTGTCCACTGAAACGGCCACAAACTTAAAACAAAAAGCAACTCCMATTTCAGAACAGAGCATCGCTTTTCCTGATGATTCCATAACCCACTTCCAAGTGCACAGAAAAAGGATGGCGCTCTTCCCACCTCCCTCCCGGACTTTGGTAACTTATCTGCAGCAGCGGATGTGTAGGGCAGCCCAACTCCAGGTCTCATCTTGCTGGTGTGAGTGGCAGGTAGAGCTGTGGAAGGTGCAAGGAGCACACGCTGCACTCGTGCCCTGGGGCCAGGGCTCCAGAGCATCCCCCATCGGAGCAGACACAGGATCAGGGCAGGAGCGTTTGACATTTCGTAACTTTTTTTGGAAAGTCCAGGAATTGCACTCCAACAGCTGCGAGAGAAGGGGATTGTTTCATTAGCACCACATGCTGATGGAGGCATAGGGATAACTCATCTTTAGGAAACACCATTAATGTTTACTGACGACTACAAATGAATCTGGGTCTTCCAAACAGGAAAAAAAAATAAAAAAAAAAAAAAAAAATTTAAGTGTCTGTTATGGGATCTGAGACGAAGCAGAGGATAACCCTCCCAAGAATCTATTAAGAATGGGTTATATATTGTTCCATTTTCCATGCTCATTACAATCACTGGGCCAATAATAGCTACATGCTGTGCCTTTTTCTATTCTAGTACAATTTTCCCCATGGGAACTCAATATCTCAGTTTAAATACTGAGCAGAGTTGGTAGAAGAAAGCAGCACGTTTCTGCTGTGTTAATCTTTTGTGCTAATCTGCATTTTGGGTATCTGGTTCCTACCCCTCTTTCTCATTGACTAGTACAGAAAAAGCAGAGGAAGGACAAGGGAGAAGAAAATTGTTGGCCAGGCAAACTAAATGACATTGTGGAGGTCAAAGCATGCCAGACTTACTGTCTTTCAGAAACGAAGGCTTTGATGCATTTAATTCCTTCAGCACTGTGAAAAACGGCGAAGAGAGAAGCAGTCGGTGACTCCATTCTAGTGATGGTGACTGTGTCCTGCCTGAGGGAGGGCAGGAGCTACAGTTTGTTTCTGTGAAACTCCTAAAAGGGAATGAAAATGGTTAGTACGTAAAATAATTTGGCAGTTTCCACTATGGCTCAGAATGCACCCACTTTCACTGTGCATTGGAAACTGAAGCACTGCTGCTCTTGGCAAATATTTGCTGTATCTCAGAKAAGACAGGCAGGTTCTTTGAAGAATCATGCTAAAATGAGACCACAGGAGGTCAAATTAAGAMCCAGGAGCCAGAGAGACTGAGCTATGGCCACCCACAGGTTAAGGCCACGAGCTGCTCATGGCCACCTTGCAAACCTGCTCCGATGCCCCATCCTGCTGCAGGCCTGGGCCACAGCACCTTGGGCCGGTCTCTGGTGTCTCAGCCTCTCCTAAATGCCTGGGAGAGGAGCCTCCAGGGACACATTCAGTGAGGAACACGTGTTCCTACACAGGGGACATCTGCAAGCAGCTCCTGGCTGGACTCCTGCACGCAGCGACGCTCTCTGTGCCCAGCAGCCCCTACTCGGTCCTGTGACAGGGCTGGCACAAGGATCACTACRCTGGGGCTTGTACAGTGGCCTGATACTATGATAACAGGAGCCTGCAAAGATAAATAGCTTCCTCTTCTGATGTGCCTCGGCAGAGGTCACTTACAAGATCAGACGCTTGTGTTTTCTCCTATTAATTACATTTTCTAACTTACTGCACAAGCTGGCTGGCAAGTGAAACAGCTCCACTCCATTCATGGTTAAACGGAGAGGCGATCCAGGGCGGAGAGCCCCAGTTCAGAGATGTATTGTTGCCTGGCAATGGCACAATTTGAAGATCAAAAAGARAAGTGTTTAACTTGGTGTTAGTTTCATTTTTAATTTCCACT